TGTTTAACATCCTCCACGTGCAAAAGTTTTAAAGGCTTAGCAACCTACATCAAGCAGCAACTGAGTACAAAGGTCATAACTAGAAGAGATAATTGTTTGCTCTACTTCTATATTTACTATTCTATATTTTAGGAAAATAACTTTAAGAACATATTTCAAAATTGCAATAATATATATATACACATGCATATATAATGTATAATAATTGAAATGTGACAGTATTTTACAAAATATTAGTTGACTAAAACATAGCCAACATAAGTTACTTTTTATATGTTATTTGATATGGTAACATGAGTGCACGTGAGCTGCATCATTGTAGCTTCTGTATTGTTAGCCAGGCACGAGTTATAAGTCAATATAATAAAATAATAAATATTTATAAATGTATAATGTTATGAGATTTAAGCTATTTTGTCTAAACATTTATGTTTTTGTGTTATAATTTGTGTTCATTCTAGAATGAAAGATGCATAATTTATGTTTATTTCCTAATTTTTTTATGGTGTTTGCGAGATTGGTCAAATTTACCGAACCCGTACAGAGATTATATACTGAAAATAACAGATAAAATATACAGTTTTTTCTTAAGAAACATTTGATAATTATTTACACATTACAAAGATTTTGCATGTGAAATTTCAAAATGTTTTGACGGATAAAAGTATTTCTAATGTTAATATGAAAATTACTTTGCATGATAGATGGGCAAGATGTGAAAAGAAAAAAAAAGGTTTGAGAGAAACATTTCTTTACAAATCTTAAGACTAAATAAAAAATTAGATATTTTGCATATGAAAGCATTGTAATGTTTACTGCTAAACTGCCAAATTTTGTTAACATTCTCTTACTAATTTAAAAGTTATAGCATGAAAACTATAACAAGCACAAAACGGTTACGAGGTTGGTCCCATGGACCGAGTCCAGATTGAAAGAATTAAGAAAAAATTATGCATGAAAATGTACTTGCACATTATAATTGTATTTTTAGATACCAATTACTAAAAGATTAGATATTAGTGAAAATTAATACTTTTGTTTCACAGTAATTAGAGAACAGTTCTTAATTTTTGGAAAAAACACTAAATCTTCTATAAATAGACTCACATAGTATTAAAATTGCCTTACAATACAAAAAATAAACCATCCTCACTTCTGTCAGAAAAAAAATGTTTACCTTGATAATGAGAAAACCATAGAATATCAAAGACAGAAGACTAAAGCTAGTCAGGCTGTCAACTTTTCTCAGAAGTCCCAGTGGAAGGGCAACAAAAACACCAACGAAAGCCAGGAAAATGACTCTAAGTTGAGGAGTTAACTGTAAAACACAACAGTTATCATAAATAATAAAAAGCTACAAGTTAGTATTTAATTTTTTGCTAATGATATATATGTATATATATTTTAAAGTTATAATACTGTAGGCTTTTGAATTCATAAAAAAAGCCATTTTCAGCCATATTGATGGATATAAAACAGGAAAGGGTAAAAATCTTATGCAAGCATGTAAAACAAAATAAGGTAACTGATGGTCAATAAAATTGGGAAATAAAGTTTATTTTAAAAGATTATTTACAAAAATTGTAATATATGATAAAAGGACAGAAGTCTTAATTTCAAACCATTAAAGCCAAACTTATAATTATATATCTTAAAATAAATGTTTCCTTTCCTTATAACATCAATAAAAAACATATTATGAAGTACATCTGTAAAATTTAATTATTTAATAGATATTCATAACTGCACCAAAGTATCACTGAAGTACCTTAAAATAATGAATTCACTAACACATAAACACACAAACAAAAATTGTTCATCAAGTTTATTGTTGAAATATTGTAACTTTCATAATTATATTTATAGTATGTATTTATTTATATACTTTGAGATAATAAAACACAATAAGGGAATTAGTGACTAACTAAAAGATATTTCCTAATTTACCCCTGAAGAAGAAAAGTCCACCTTTCGAAAGTGCTCGGGTTATAGGGTTTTTACTCATTTCTATCAAGACTTCTTGAACCTACGTGTTTTTCTAACATCAGGAATGTAACCACAATATATAGTAGTATAGATACAAATCCAAAAACTTAACCATAATTTACATAATGACTGTATTCACAACAACTGTATTTTAGTGCGTACTGTAATTAAGTACTGCTTTATATGATGAAATAATAATGTTACAAAAATTCTTAAATCCCTACAAGAATTGTGGACTATAATTACATTTGAAGGAGTGTGGAAAGTAACCAAGACATCCTGCTACTCACCTCAGGGAAACTAGAGGACACTCGGGTAAACTAAGTAGGCATTATGCTACTCACCTCAGGGGAACTAGAGGACACTTGTGGAAAGTAACTACACATCCTGCTTCTAACCTCATGGAAACTATAGGACACTAATTACAATACATGCTAAAAGGTTCACACTAAGAGCATGTACAATCATGACCCTTTATAAACTGACAAGAGAAACATACTGTTACCACTGATAGGTAGATCTAATGCTGGAATCTCAGTAAAAAATCAATGGGAAAGCTATTACAGGAACAATATGCTTTCTCCACCATGGAAGGCTCTCAACACATTTAACAAACCACCAAACATGAGAATTCTCCTACATTTTACATTTACAAGGATGTATTAAACATAAACACAATCTCATAAAAATCTCCCTATGAAGCTTCTATGAAAGGAAAAATTTAACCAGACAAAAAAAAAGGGGGGGGGAGTAGTGGTCGTTTCAAGCAATAAACAGCCATGAAGAAGTAAAAACTTCAAAGTTCCAACATGCAGCTTCAAAACTGACCCAACAGAAGCATGTCCAAAGGAAAGTCATCTCTTTGGGGAACAGCTCTCTAGATTATACTCATCAGAAAAATAGTGGAAGCTACAGTAAAGACAGAAAAGCAAGAATCACTCAAAGAAAAATGAAATGAAACAGTAAAAAGTACATAATGCTAACCAAAACAATTCAGAACAATAAAGCTATTACAGGATGGACCAAAATTAAGGTGATAAGAAATATAAGGGAATTCCTTAAATTACAAGAATAATAATAAAAAATATGAAAAAGTGATGATTTTTTTTAAATTTCTAATTACACCTATAAATATTGAGAAAAAATTATATGTTTTTTTAGGTAATACAACTTTCAATTTACTGTTTTCATAGACAGTCTTGTTTACAACCAAGTCTAAGAATTGCTACTGCAAAGTCAGCCCTCTTCATATTAGCAGTTGGTTTCTTAATCATCTGATAGGTAACCATAAAAAACATCTAACATAAGCATCCCCTCTTCATAACTACTTTTAATCCTATCTTGTTCCCTTTTTTGTGCCACACTTTTCCACATGACCTCCACATCCTCAGGCTTATTCATTTTAACTAACACAATTTATAAATGGAATGAGACTGTCATATGCTTCTTTGTAACTGAGGACAACAGTAACATATGCAGATTCTTGGGTGAGAAATGAGGTTAACTATCTTAGAGTAGCTCACTGTTCATATGCTCAGTAACACCTCAGGCTATGAACATAAAGAAAGTTTTTAGAAAAAATATAGTCTTATATTCAAGTTAATATAGTAATAAAACATGTGTAGAATGAACAGCTGTTGGAAGAAGAAAATAACAAGTCTTATAACACCCTATTTATCCTTATAAAATAAGATTTCTGAGGGTTATCATGCAAATAATATATATGAAGTACAATCAATCATTTCATTCACCTCTTGTCACTGAACTATACCAGTTTCATGAGTGAAATATTTAGAAGAATAAATTATTAGCATCAATGCTATATATTCTTCAAATCCGATATATAAACAGGTTCGCCATATTGAGTACAAAACAACTAAACAGGTCATGCATATAATACACAGTCCACCAATATAACAAATTTAGTCTTGTTTTTTTCAGTTTGCCTTTGTGTAAAGTTACTGAGTCAGGATGGAATTCTCCATAACCAATACAATTCAATGATAGTTGGTGAATCAAATGACAGATTGGCCTTCATATTTATTTTCACTACTTTTAACAGCATGTTTGCTGTGCAAGTTCAATGTGGTACATAAAAGACAACAAAAAACATCATGCATATATTAAGATGCAAGATAACCATTTAATTCTTTCCAGACTGGATGAGTGCCACTGATTTCTCTTGTTTTTTTTTCATTCTTGAAATGGAAATACTTAAAGAAATTGCATGAAACTTGGTATAAACTTCCTAAATAGTATCTAATTTCTGCTTTAATATTAATGTTTTAAGATTTTTTATGAAACACTGTTTTGAAAAAACAAAAAACTTTTGTCATAGATTTCTTTTAATTTTTGATCAGAAAGTTCAATTTTTCTTTTATATTCAATCAGTTTTAACTTGACATAACAGCAAATGTACAATGTTTTGACAAGATTTTGTTATCATCAAGTACAAAACCTTGTCGAAATGTTGTACATTTGCTGTTATGTTAAACTCATATTAGTTTTTCTTCATTACCCATTCAAGCCGTCTCCAAGCATTATTAGTCTCAAAGTAGGTTCCTTGTCATCGAAACAGTTTTAACTTGTTTGACATCCGTCAGTATATTTTATTGCTACAGTCAACTTCTTGCTGTAGATCATATAAACCCAGTATGACTTCCAAATTTTGTGTATATATATATATATTTTTTTTAAGTTTTGCTTAAAGTTACAAAAGGGCTATTTTCCCACAGCTGTCCCTAATTTTGAACTGGAATAGACTAGAAGGAAGACAGCTAAAGTACCCACTGCAAATTCTTGGACTACTCTTGTATGACCAATTATTTGACCATCACTCCAAAGTAAAACATGCAATGGGATGCTAACCCTCAGACTCACAGTTTGGATTTGTTAATCACTATGCCAAAGCCAGTCCTGAATGACAAAGACTAACTGTTGAATGTTGGATATACTAGACTATTTAGTTTAAGTGTTATTATTTAGTTTATTTGGTGATTTAATATTTAATTTCCTTTTCATAACAAGAGTTAGAAGTAGTCATTTTAAAGACGATAGTTCTGAAATGTTTGGTTGCATAACTCTGTACGAGTCGTATGTTGTGTTTGCAATTACATTGTTGTCTAGGCTTTACTAATATTGTTGATATCACATTACTCCAATCTTCAGTATTTTTCTCATTTCCTTAAATGGGTGTTGTTATCTTATAGCACTGCTTGCATGGTTTGTCAAAAATTTGAGGCTTCAGTCTGGCAAGGTATAAATATAGGCAACTAAGCAAGCACAAGTTAAGAAGAAAACAAAAGTGAAGTGTAGTTCAGTCAGAAAATTAGTTAGCAAAACAAAACGTGAAGTTAGCCGGCATGTGAGTGGTTAGCCATATTGGGCGATATTTTAAAGTGAGTTTCACATTTTAATAGAGATAAGGAGAATAATTTGTCTTGTTAGAAGGTGTTCTGAAGTAATTGAACCTGCCTGTGTGGACTTTGACAAAAAAGGAGACAATTATTTGAAGTTCAGGATGAAACTGTGGTAACCCACAGGGTAGTGTAAGTGAATTGTTCACTGATTCGTATTGTGACAAAAGAAGATAAAGAAAAATAGATTAATTGGATTCTACAGTAACTGAATCAGCCTAAGTGGACTTCTGACAAGAAAATTATTTAGAGTCTGAGATACAATTGTAAAATTCAGTGTAAAGAATTTTTGTACATAGTTTGACCTGTTTTCAATATATCATTTTAAAACAAGTGGATTGTATGCTGTCCATTTATTGTTCAAATTTATTGCCAACAAGTCACAGACATCTACTGTAGAAGAATCCAAGCCCACATACATAAAACCCTAACAGTGAACAATTACTTACCTTTCATTATAGTGACAATGTCACCTTTGTCAACAAAACTGTTGGTTACAATCTAATAATTATAGTTTACTTTTAATAAGTAAGAAGTTCTTGTATTTGTGAGTGTTATTTGCCACACAGACTTGACAATATTTGCAATAAAAAAACTTATAGCTTTCAAATAGATGCAACACATAAAACATTATAAGGTATATAAAAACATGATTAAGAACAATAAAAAGGAATCTCAGGCTTCTATTTAATTGAAAAGTACATCAAAAGTTTATCTAGCAGTTGCTTCAATACCCATAACCATACCTAACCTTACTGTTTTCATAGGTGTAATGAATCTGCACGCAGGTCTATTGGAATTTAGCCTGCTAATGTTAGAGCCTAACACCTCCCCCTTATTCAAATTATTGGCTTTAGGGTGTATGTCTCTTCAAAGCCAAGAACCAGTCAGAATTCTCAAGACCTTTCCGGACAGT